AGACACACACAAATAAAAACAAGAACTTAAAAATACATACAAGTATATATGTATATATAATGTATACATATATATTTACAAACACATATATACAATAGAGAAGCTGGCGATGTAGCTCAGTGATACAGTGCTTGCCTAGCATGTGTGTTTTCCTAGGTTTAATCACTAGTATTGCCAAAAAAAAAGTGAGATATAAAAACTGATACTTGGACATACAATTCTATGCTTCTATATATTTGTGAAAGACAGATAACAAAGACCAGGGCTGGGAGATAGCTCAGTGATGTGAAACCCTAGGTCTTATACCCAGCGTTAGAAAAAAATAAAAAGACAAGGAATAATCTTAGATGAGAGGAAAGACAGAATAAAGCTAAGGGTGGAAGTTAATTCAATAAAGATGGAGATGGTAAGACAGTAAGAGCTGATTCTCCGCAAAATATCAACAAAATAGCTGAACTTATGGAAAATTATGAACACACATAGACAGACCGACAGACAGATTGGTAGATAATAGATAGATAGATAAGTGATACATAGATAAGTGATAGACAGAGAGATTGATTCAGAATGGAAATGAAGCCATAACCACAAAGTATTAATAATTTAAAACAAGAAAGGGAGATCAACAAATTTGTGTCTTTTCATGTTGAAAACCTGTAAAAACAGAAAATCTGAATGATTAAAATTGACCCCAGAGGAAATTAGAAATCCTGAATGGTTCGATTGCCGTTAAAGAAACCCATTCTTCAGGCAGGCGTCTTCTCAGCGCCCAGGTCCCTCCCCTGGCAAGCACCTCCATGTGGCTCCCAGCTTCAGATGGCACCGAGGGCAGTTTGTACTGAATCCCGCTGAGCTGATAGTCCTCCTTATCCAGTGCACAATAGCATCATTGTCTTTTGCCTGCATATTTCCTCATGTCATATCAGCAGCTGTTTCTCTCATCATTCCTCTATGCAAATATCATTTCCTTATAGCTGCTTCCAGGCTTCTTTATTTGTGTATGTGAGTGGATGGGTGAGTGCCACAGCATGCATGTGAGGGCATCAGAGGACAGCTTGCAGGAGAAGTAAGCTCTCTCCCTCTGCCACGTGTGTTCTGGGCGTTGGACTCAGGTAGTCCGGCTTGTTGGCAAGCACCCTTCCTTGCTGAACCACCTCACAATCCCATCTTTACATTTTATTCTCATCTATTTCTAAATCTGTCTTTTTGTTTCTGATGTCAATAACAAGTGCCAGGGGTGCTCTATGTGTTGGGTAGGTGGTCGATGTGGTCCCTGCCTCTCTTCTTTTTAATTTTTTGGATTTGTTATGGTTGTGTGTGCACGATGTGTGTAGGGGCACTCAGGTCACAGGGCATGTATGGGGTTCAGAGGACAACTTTGTGGAGTCAGTTCTCTCCATCGTGAGATCTAGGGACCGAGCTCAGCTTGTCAGGGGTGTAAGGTAGTCACTTTATCCACTGAGACATCTCAATGGCCCTGGCCCTGGGTGCTTTTTCCACCCCAAGATGCCCAGCCTAGGTACATACAACCTACCCACTCCTGTCCTGATGTCAAAAAAGCAGCTGTGCCAACCTTCCTCCTGGAACAGAAATGTCTAAATTGAGCCAAAATATGTCCAATGGAATACATTTTCTTTTCTTTTGGAACATTTATTTGTTCTTCTTTTATGCATATGGGTATTTGACTGCATGTTTGTATGAGTACCAGGTGTGTGCAGTGACTTCCAAGGCCAGAAGATGGCATCAGACCCCCTGGAATCAACGTTACAGATGGTTGTGAGCCACCACGTGGGTGCTGGGAACTAAACCTGAGTCCTCTGTAAGTCTGGCCAGTTTTCCTAACTGCTGAACCATGTCCCCAGCCCCTGGAATACATTTTAGATCATGCCATCAATAACTTTGAAGTATAAAGGACTTGTGGACAGGCCCAGACTCCATGGTCCATCAATCTGGTTTATATTGTCTTTTGCTCAAATAACAATATAAAATCGACTTCTGTGACAACTATCTGCTCAGGAAAGCTTTTATTTTGGTAATTAAGTTTGTTGGGAAAGACCTCTGGAGACTGGGAGAGACCAGCACAGGGCAGACTGTGTGGAGGAGGGACAGGCCTGGGCAGGACAGAGTGGGGGAACATCTTCCCTTTCTGTGGAGCCTTTCCCAGTGGCTCCCAGCATGGCCCACTGCACAATTCTTAGCCACTGCCACCCCTCCCCCTTGGTAAGCAGAGGTGGGGTGGCTGAGAAAGCCTCAGCTGGTGCTGAAAAAAAAACAAAAACCCTGACAACTAATGGGCAGTCCCAGCTGGTATCTGGAAAGCAAGAGGGAAACCCTACACCTTTCCTGACAGGCACATTGATTTGGGTTTGTGCTCCTGGAGTTTCACTGATCTTTATGAGGATGTCCATCTGGGATGTCAAGGAGCACATGGGCACAGAGAGGAGCAATGTCGTGGAGGTCTGGTCCAGGGCAACTTCCTGCTTCCATCCCTTGGGAAGGCTAGGTTGACAAGTGAGGTGTCTGCCTTGGCCTTAGTGCTCGCTCGCTCTGTGTGTGTGTGTGTGTGTGTGTGTGTGTGTGTGTGTGTGTGTGTGCGCGCGCACATGCTCACATGCGTGTGCCTGCCGTGTTACACATGTGGAGGTCAGAGGACAACTTGCAGGGGCAGGGTTTTCCTGCCACCCTGTGCATTCTGGGGATTGAACTCAGGTCATCAGGCTTGTTGGCAAGTGCCTTTAACCATCTCTCTAGGCCCTGGTTCTAGGTGTTTAGAGCACCAAAGACTGCTGGTGGAGCCCATTTGACAATACCTGTTTGTGTTGGATCCTCTTTCTTCACTCTGCTTCAGGCTCTGTCCCTTCTCATCAGTGAGTTCTGATCTTCCTGCTTTGTCCAGGCTTACAGGACTGTCTCGGACACAGATTGCAATCATTATTATTTTCTTTTTGCTTTTTTTTCCCCTCTGCTTTGGATAACACCCATCTGGATCAGGTCTAAGTGGACAATGTGTGATGGGTCAGAGGCATGAACACACACCAGAAAGAAATGAATATCTTCCTGAGTAGAGCCTAGGTGATGTAGAGCCTGCAGGAATGCTACTACCACCTCCCAGTCTTCCTTGGGGTGGAGGGGACAGAGCAGCTTTGTACTGAGGAGTTTGGAAGGGCTGCAGAACCCTGGGAGCAAGACTAGGGTTCAGTGAAGGGTGTGGGTGGCTACTGTGGGGCGATCTTTCTGTGCATTGTGAATCTATGTTGCTACCATTGGTTAATAAAGAAGCTGCTTTGACATATGGCAAGATAGGAGACAGCCAGGTGGGAAATCCAAGAGAGATAGAGGGAGAAGAAAGGCGGGGTCAGAGGAGATACTGTGAGCCACAAGGGTGGGGGTGGGGAAGAGAGCAAGATGTAATAGAACACAGATAAAGCCACAAGACATGTGGCAATACATAGATGAATATAAATGGGCTAATTTAAGATGTAATTGCTAGCTATCAATAAGCCTGAGCAATAGACCAAACAATTTGTAATTAGTATTAAGCCTCTGAGTGATTATTTTATAAAAATGGCTGCTGCCCAGGTGAGACCGGGAGGGACTGAAAAACTTCAGTTTACAGATGACAGTCATTCAATCAAGACTGTAGCACGATTTTTCTTTGGGCTGCCAGCTCACAAAAAAAAACAAAAACAAAAACAAAAAAAAAAACAACTTACTATTATGGAGACTTATTATTATGAAAGCTCGGCCTATAGCTTAGGCTTGTCCCATTAAGTTTTATAACGAAAATTAACCCATTTATATTAATCTACATTTTGCTTCATGGCTTTTTACCTCTCTTCCATCTTGCATCTCCTGTTTTCTCTCTGTGTCCTCTAGCGATTCCCTGCTTCTTCCCAGAGCTCTTTCTGTCCAGAGGTCCTGCCTATACCTCCTGCCTAGCTATAGGCTGCTTAGCCTTTTATTAAACCAATCACAGTGATGCATCTTCACACAGTGTAAAGGAATATTCCACAACCCAAGACTCTGCTGGTCTTGGCCATTTGTGTAGCAAACCATGGGATGTCCGGAAGATCTGCTGAACATCATGGACATTTGGTAAAACTGATGACAACCTTGCATTTAGTTTGGGAAGCAGAAGCTAGCAGGATGCACAAGCCTGAGTGGCTGATGCAGCTGTGGACATCAGATGGCATCAATGTCCTGAAACCTGCAGGAAGCTGATGGCGTGGCCTGCAGTTTCCACCGGGGACACTGAAAAGGAAAGTGAACTTCAGCATTGGTTCAGGGATCTTGGATTTTTTCCATCCTTGAGGGTTAGGAGTGGAGATGGGACATGAGATGAGAGCCCTTCCTGGAAGGGTTTTGCTCACATGATGGAGATGTGGAGCAGGGCATCCCTTGGAGCGCTCGCTCCTAGTGGTTTGATCACAGTGTGTCTAGCACAATGTGGAATGCTCTCCCAATGCACTCCAGAGAGGTGACACAGCTTCAAGGCCTCCAAAGGCAAGAGGCAATCCCTCTGTACAGATCTACACAGGAGAGCTGACTTCAGCCCTGAATGCAGAGTCTGCCCTTAGGTCCTCTTACCCTTGGCACAACAAAGGCTGGAGAACCGATCTGGGCTTTTACTTTGCCCCTGGAGACACCACTCAAGTAGTTACTAGAAAAGTTCAAGGCCTTTGACTTTAGTTTAACTTTTTTTTTCTTGAATATTTTTTTTATTACTTTTATATGTGTGTGTGAATACCATGTGTGTGTTGGTACCCTCAGAGGCCAAAGAGGGTGTTAGATCCCCTGGAGCTGGAGTTACAGGTACCTATGAGCCACCAGGTGTGGGTGCTGGGAACCAACTCAGGTCCTCTGGATCAGCAAAGCTCTTAACCATTGAGCCATCTCTCCAGTCCCTTTAGTTTGATTTTGTTTTGTTTTTAGTAATGAAACACCTTCAAACATTCACTCAGACGTATTATGTAGGAAGTAGGAAAAAAAAAAACTCAGGATTTCACTAACTCTGATTTATTTCATAACTTCACAGGGGTAACATTTAATTTTTCAGCCTGTTGATAAGTGACAATGGTGAAGCCATTCTCAAGAACACAAAGCCACATGAAGTCAGGATATAATGGTCAATAATGACAATCACTGTGGTTAGGCGGCGTGGACAAAATGCATTTCAGAAAGATAAGTCATCGCAGATGATGACTTTTAAAAAACACTTCTCTTGCAACTTCTTATTCTTCAATTAAACCAACTCACAATCTAGAAGAGCATGTTATCACTTCAAAATCAAGTCAGCTAGGTCACCAGCCACTTCTGGAATACTTACCACGGATGTGGAAGACAGCCAGTGCAAAAGAGCTGAAATGCTTCCCGGTGGGAGCATCACGGCTGGCAGCCTGTTACATCTTTACTTGTTTCCACACAACCAGAACAGTCAGGAGAGCATGCACTGAGTTGACAACAACTACCACGAAAATACCAAGACCCTCAGTGTGTCGAGGGGTTTCTAACTTCCAAAACGTTACTTGAAGTGCTTAAAGGGCACTGTGCCCTTTGATCCTAATGGCAGTCCATTTTCAGATGAGGAAACTGATGTTAAGAGAAGCTAAGCCACTTGCTTACAGCACACAAGGACCTACCACAAGGCTGTACATGAACTGGGCCAGAGCTCTGCCTGGCATGTAAGTGTTGGTTGTTCATGGTGTTCTAGTGCACTCGAACCTGGGGCACACACACAGGACACTACAGTTTTCAAGTCTACGTACAATTACAGAAAGCTTGAAATAGGTACACCAATGCCAGCAGGGGAACTTGGTTTTGCTGCAAATGGGTCAGTCTAGAAACAAAAGCAAGCGTGGTGGACACTGATCATGCTGAGACTTGGTCATCAGGACACTTTAGACCACCTGCTGTGTGTTTGAGATTTAAGGAGTTTAAAATACAATTTGCTTAACATCAGTCTTCTACTGAACTAAGAAAAACACGTTTGAGTGACACACAGCTAGGGGAGGGTGGGTTCCCAAAGTCCCTTCCGGGCTTCTGTCCAGGTATCACTTCTGAGCATTTTGTTGTTGAGACCATTGAACTCATTTGACCTTTGCTTCTTTCTCTTTATAAAGAGTAACACAGCACCCCACACCAGTGACACACACCCCGTAAACGCATACACCACGCTACAAAGAGTAGCTTGCCACACAAATGAAGTGGGGCTTATGTGAAACACATTGCATGTTGAAGCCCTCAGCAGGTTGTGAGGTCCTTTGCTCTGCTTTGCTCACTGCGGCCAGTTAAAGTCTTGGTGGTTAAACAGACCAGAGTGACAGTCACACCACTCCGTGCATGTCCACTTCTGTGCATGTCTCTAAACGTCCGTCTTTTTCTCAAAGACGTCTCTCGATGGCTGTGTACCTCTTGGTAACAGACCAGGTGAACCATCCACGGGTCGAGAGACTGACATTGCAGCTCCTTCTGGAACCATCTACACGAAGTAGAAGGAAGATGTGTGTGGAAGGGGACACACTGCAGGTGACATTAGAAACCCAAAGGCATGATGGTCCTACATCCGGAAGAGGAGGGCCTGCCCCCCAGCTCCCCAGATCCCTAGTACAAGGCCTGTGACTGCTTAGCTATAGATGACAGCTGGAGGAAGTTTCCAGAGTCTAACAGAATTTGCTGATTTGAGACAGGAAATGTCCCGACAAGCCACTCCATCTCATCTTTCAAACTTTATTGCAAAAGCTGTTTATTTTTTTTTTTAAAAACAAGGTCAATTCATTTTTCTATGGTATGAGTCAACACTGGTCTTTCTGATGTGGTTTAAAACATTACGTGTGTGTGTGTGTGTGTGTGTGTGTGTGTGTGTGTGTGTGTGTGTGTGTGTAATGACAGCTTGCAGGAGTTGGTTCTCTCCTTCTACCATGGGGACCGAACCTTCCTGCAGAGGGACACGGAAGAGGAAGAAAGGAAGCCATGCCTTATTTTGTGGTGGCTCTGTAGTGGCTACACAGACAGCAGAGATCCCGGGGAGAAAGAGTATGTGATCTCGTTAAAGGTATTAGGTGAATCCACCTTCCTAATGGGCAATCCATCAGACAGGTGATGGACATTCCCAACTGGATTAACTCTTATGTTTTGGTGAGTTCGGAATGTTAGGTCTCCACCTAGGCAAGTGGTAGATTCCATTTTTCTGACCAGAAGGCAATGGTTTTCTCTTAATGAGACTCAGTAAAGCCCCAATCAAGGCCACTATAAAATTCTCTCCTCTGAAGAGGTAACCCTAAAATCATTTAGGAGATGGGCTAAAATTGGGGAACAGATATAAGCCATTTTTATCATGAAAATCTAGAGATCTACTTCTAAAGCTATTTACAAAGGGATTAGTGTCTGGCTGAGGTCCCAGTCCCACCCTAAAGTGTAACTTCTATGAAGGTGACAAGGAGAAGTCAGAGCTCCTTTGTGGCACTCGTGAGTCAGAGAACCCACTCTTGAAATGCTCCTAAACTGCCTTCTTTTTTTCTAAAGATCTATTTATTTTTATTTTATGTGTGTGCTCTGCACGTATGTATGCATACCACATGTGTGCAGTGCCCAAAGGGACCAGAAGAAGGTGTTGGATCCTCTGAAACTGGAGTTATGGATGGTTGTGAACCACCATGTGGGTGCTAGGTTCTGAACTCCTCTGTAAGAGTAGCAAGTGCACTTAACCACTGAGCCATCACTTCAGCTCCTGCCAGCCAATTTCTATTTCCTGTTCACATCATTACCCCCTCTGAAGACGTTGGCAAGCAACATTACCAACCCAGCTATCTGGCTGACCCTTGGTGGGCTTAAAGGAAACTAACGTACAGGAGTTTTAGGTATTTTAGGGACTTGGTCTTGTATTTACTAACAATCTACTTTAGAGTCCACCAAACCAATCTACTTTAGAGTCCAGGCATTTTTTTTTTTTCTCAGAAAGAAAAATTGAGATGGGACACTAGTGGTGGTACATTCTTCTAATCCCAGAACTCAACTTGGGAGGCCTGATGCAGGGAGAGAGCAAACTCTAGGCCAGCCTGGGCTATAAGGTGAGACCCTGTCAAAACAAAAAAAAAAAAGACTTGGTTCTAATGCTTGTCTTCAATTCTGTATATTAGAGAAAAACCCAGTGTAACAAGATCAGCCTTGTCAAGCACTATCCCTATGCCCACCAAGAGGTGGAAGGAGTGGGGGTAGCTCTCAGTTGCTCCTTCCATTGTCCCAGCGGCTGTAACCCTCTCTTTCCCCTGACTCCTCCCTGCTCTCATGTTCAAAGTAGGCCTCTTCTTCTTCTTCCTCCCGTATGACCTTCATCAGCTCCAAAAAGGTGGGTAGTGGGCCCTGATCCTTCATCTCCCGCAGCCGGCACCAGAGAACATTGTTAAGGTTGGCCCCAGCCATGACCTGCTCCAGGCGTACCTGGTCAGCAATGTTTCGGGGAATAGCCCGTTTTTCCACAGCTCTTCGAAGCAGAGTTTCCAGTCGGAGCACGTAGGCTGAGATTTTCTCCCCGTCTTGCTGATAGGTCTTTAGGTATCTTACCTGCGAGGATCTACGGCTCTCCAGGCTCCCAAACACCTGCTTAAAGGCCTCCAGACACTCTTCCACACTGGCAGAAGGGTTGTCCGCCTGTACGATGTGCATGAGGTCCAGGGCGGGGCCACGGAGGCTCTCCGTCATCCACTTTTTCTTTTCTGCCTCAGGGATGGGCCACTCTTTGGCTATCTCAGTGGCCTGTTCCAACCAGACCTCAAAGGACTCCTCCTCTGGGGCAGGTACTGTGCTCCCAGAGAATACTCGCAACTTACAGTACCTCATAGGCAGCAGAGACCTTGGGGTTTGAGCCATTGCCTGCCCCACCAAATGGACCAGTAACTCAGAGGATGTGCAGGTCGCGGTAGCTGGAGCCACTCCCTCCTGCTTAAGGGCTCGGAACATTCCTGCAACCGTCTGCCCTTCTTTTTCTAGAAAGAGGTTCAGTCTTTGGAGAAACTCAGTGTCCTGATTAGCGGTCTTAAAGATCACTTTCCAGACACCCCCTTTTCCCTGAACCTCACTGGGGACCACAGACATATCTGTGTCCTCCAGGAGTTCTAGTAAAACAGCATTGGTGTTATCTTGCTTCTGGAATATCTTGCCTAGCAGTTGGTAGTTGCCCACACACTTCAGTGCCTCCTGAAGAACCGCCTGGATCTCAGGCTCACCACAGTCCATGGGTATGCCAATCACCATCAATGACTTCCGGTCATCCACACTCATGATCTTACACCACTCCTCCAACAGTGCCACCGCCATCGTCCCAGGATATGCTTTTGTGCTTAGGCCTGGCCTGGCTCACGCCCCAAGCAGCTCAAAGCCTTGTGGGTGGCTTTGTCCTTTTACTTAGTATCAAGAACCAGGCACTTCCTGGGTGTCTTCAGACCCTCAGCAAAGTTGATGGATACTACAGGGTGGACGGGGGTGGGCTGCAGTTATCAGCCCTGTGGCTCTGCAGTGGGTTCGATGCTGTTTCTGAGAGCTGTAGGCTGTGTGGTGCTGACTCTTGTCACTGTGAGGCACCTGGGACAACTGCTTTTCCCATCAAATGTTTCCTGTCACTTCGCCTCTCTCTAGTCAGCGGGGAGGCAGCATCCACTCTAGCACCCAAAGCTCTGGGGAGTCACACAGCAAAATGGCGAGGACTCCTAGGGAAAGAGAGGTTCATTTTTACTATACAGACCTCTACTTCCCAGGACACACCCACATTCTAGTTTGAAATGGGACTAGGGGTGGACCAAGGGCTATGACGCCCACTGCACCTGTGTCTGCCCCACTCTGGCAAGCTCCCTTCTTTACTTACTGTACTTTTGGACTGTGGGGACCAGCTTAAGTCCCATCTCTCCACCCTGAACCCCCACCAGTGGGCAGGATTCGAGACCTTCACCATTTGAAAGATGAGATCAGGAGACATAGTTAAATACCTGTTTATATGTTCCAGAATGTTCCTCAAGAATCAAGGGGCCATGTATTCAGCTTCCAGCTCAGGAAGATGTCTCCCACCTCTATACAATAGTGTGTATGCGTCTTAACTTCAGCCAAATCAAGCTGTCCTGTTACACACAAACATGAATAATGTTTTTAGGCTGGATATCTAGTAATAAAGATTAATGCACTTATTAAAAACATAACAGTTCAGGAAAGTAAAAAAAAAGTGAGTCCTGCACAATTTAATGGATCATCCTAAAGAAGATAGTTGCTACACTTCTTTGAAGAAAAAGCCCACCCAGTTCTGGGGACACTCTTCGGTCTGCAGAGTGCTTGCCTGGCACACATGCAGGAAGCTTGGAGTTCAAGTTCCAGCACCATATAAACTGGGCGTGGTGGTCCATGCCTGTAATCCCAGCACTTGGGAAGTGAAGGCAAGAGGGTCAGGAACTGAAGATCATTCTTGACCACATAGGGAGCTTGAGGCCAGCCTGGGCTACATGAGAACCATCTTTAAAAATAAGTCCAACTGTACTGTGTGTGGTGGCACTCCCAGCATTTGTGAAGATGAGGCAGGAGGATTGTAAGTTTGAAGTCAATCTGGGCTACATAGAGAAATCTTGTCTCCAAAGAAGAAAAAGACATAAAAAAAACTAAACAGAATCATTCAAACATTTAAAAATGATTTTAATGGGTATAACAGAGAAAAATGGAACCTCAGAAAAATAAGTGCACTTCGGAGTTATGAATCAATCCCCTTTGGTTGTGTCTAGCATGGCTTTTCCAGTGTTACACATGGTAAGTTACCAACTCAACTCTTCCTGTAGTGCTTTCAAGGAGAATGGGCCCCATAGCTCATGTATTCAAATGCTCGGTCCTTAGTTGGTGGAACTGTCTGGGAGGGATTTTGGAGGTGTGTCACTGGGGGTGGGCTTTGAGATTTCAAAAGTCCACCCCATTCCCACTGTCAATCTCGGTGCCCTATGCTTGTGGATCAGAAAGCTCTTAGCTCCTGCCCCAGACTGTGCTTGCCTACCTGCTGCCATACTCCCAGCCACAGTGGTCATGAACTCACCCTCTGAAGCTGTATAAATGCTTTCTTCTCTAAGTTGCCTTGGTCATGATCCTTTGCCACAGAGGCAGAAAAGTAACTAAGACACTTCCTGTCATTTAAATTTGACTGGGCCGTTGAGAGAAAGGCAAACAGCAGAAAACATGCCCACACCAGAGTGAAGTATCCATGAAGCAGCTTGCTCTGCATGGAAAGGGAAACCTAAGAATGTAAAAGGGAGTGGTCCTGTGACAGCGTGGTCACTTAGCCATGGGGATGCCTTCAGAGAAGCACCTTAGGTGGCTTCCTAATTGGCTGAACACCACAGAGTGCACTTATGTAAACTAAGATATCCGTAACATCACTAGACCACGCATTCTTTTTTTTTTTTTTTGGTTTTTCGAGACAGGGTTTCTCTGTGTAGCTTTGCGCCTGTCCTGGAACTCACTTGGTAGCCCAGGCTGGCCTTGAACTCACAGAGATCCGCCTGGCTCTGCCTCCCGAGTGCTGGGATTAAAGGCGTGCGCCACCACCGTCCGGCTAGACCACGCATTCTTATGGAGTCATTGTGGTATACCAACTGAAATGTTGACTTGACTGTGCCTTTCAGAGACCTTTGTAGGGTGTATGTTAGGATGCTACAACCATTTCTACCCTTAGCCTGAACATTTCCCATCAGTCTGAGGGAGGCCATATGCCACAGATGCTGACCAGAACTAAAGCAGCAGCTGCCTCAGGAGCAGCTTCCATCTTCCTGTGAAATGCTAAAGGCTGTTCCAGTGTGCCAGAACCAGGGGGGCAAGATGCTGTCTCATCCTGTGCCTGGGAGCATGGGGACCTGGGACTTCAGACCAATCCAGGCCTGAGATTTCCTTGTAAAATATGGGAGTGAATTTCCTTCTCTTGGAGTATTTGGAGGAATCAGAAATGTAAAGAGCACTGGAAGGGCTAAGGATGTAGCTCAAGTTGGTGGAGTGCTTGCCACCATGCAGGAAGTTAGACCCCAGCATTGCATAAGCCAATAGTGGCAATGCCCATTACCCCAACACTTAAGAGGTGAAGGCAGACAGATCAGACATTCAAGCACGTCCTTGGCTATGTAAGGAGTTTGAGGTTAACCTGGGGTTACATACAGGACCTTGTCCCAATAACAACAAAAATAACCAAACAGAAGGCTTTGAATGCCCAGATCCACAGAAAAACTGTCATAGTAAAATTGGTTAGCTTGTGAGGCCTTTCCCCTGAAGGTAATCCTACAAGGGATGGCCTGAAAGAAAGAAAGAAAGAAAGAAAGAAAGAAAGAAGCCCCAAGTGTCTGGAGAGATTGCTCAGTGGTTAAAAGCACAAGTTTGGTTCCTAGCAGCACTGATGTGGTGACTCACAGTTATCTATAACTTCAGTGCCAAGGGATCTGACACCTTCTACAAGGGCCCCAGGCATGCATGTGGTACATATACGTGCATTCAGGCAAAACACCCATATATATATGTATATATAATTAACACATGCCATGAGGTGGTGGTGCACGCCTTTAATCCCAGCACTCGGGAGGCAGAGCCAGGCTCTGTGAGTTCGAGGCTAGCCTGGTCTACAGAGTGAGATCCAGGACAGGCACAAAAGCTACACAGAGAAGCCTTGTCTCAAAAAAAAAAAAAAAAAAAAAAAAAAAAAAAAAAAAAAAAAAAAAAAAAAAAAAACCAAAATAAATAAATAAATTAATTAAATAAAATAAAATAAATCACCCCCCCCCAATTTAAGACCCCAAGTGAAACACCCTTGATGTACAACAGGGTCATGAAAAAATGTTTGGATGTGAGAGAACGCAAGGGTTTCATATTTTTCTCACGTAAAGGGGGCCCACAGGATAACCTGTTAAAGGAACCAGGCTCTGAGGTCAAAGACGCCACTTGAATTACCAAACTAGACACGTGTCCTTCATAAACTCCTCCTAAACCCGTGTCCTAACCTGGAAGGCTTGGAGCGATGAAAGCCCTCATCTCACCGGGCCTTGGTGAAGCATTGGCAAATGAAGCTACTGGAAGCTTTTAACAAAATGCCAAGCACATCCGGTGCTGATGTCCAAAGGCCCTACGCACATAGGGGTCCTCTCAGCTCCTACATAAGCTTGGCGTGGAGTGTGTGTGTGTGTGTGTGTGTGTGTGAACTGTGACTGCATCCATCAAACTATCTCTGGCAACTGGGGGCGTTGGTATCCGCATACAATCCTTCCCTAAGCAAAGGCTGACAATGGGCCTGATTTCTTGGTCACACCGCCCTGTGAGAACATGCTGCAGTAAACTGTCTTTCATAGACCAAACCCATTCTCCTTAGTGAGCATGCTCAGATCTCCCGGCCCCTAAAGGATGGGCAACGCTTCTGCAGGTTTCAGCCACTCTGGAAAAACAAGGGGGGGCCTAAATCCACCAGAAGCAGAACCAGGGGTTGAGATTAAGCAAGGAAGGGCCCAAGATTAGAATGCTGGTTGGAAAAGCCTCCAACCTGGCGACCGTGGCTGGACCGCGGGCACGCGCCCCCCCCAAGACATACACCCTCAAATCCTCACACACTTTGGCTGCGCATAATTCACAGCATGTAATCCTCCCCTAAGCCTCGATAGAACTCTACCCTTAGCTCAAAGCGTTGCCGCCCTAGAGAAATGGCATCTGGTAACCGTGGGGCTCTGGCGCAGTGTGCAACAGGGCGGGGGAGCTGCGGGGGGAGCTAGGCGGGGCGCCCTGAAAACAAGATGTGCCTGGAGTGAGCCTCAGTCTGCTTAGTCCTCAACCATTTTGGGTGGGAGTGGTGGTAACCAGGTGTGTGTGTGTGTGTGTGTGTGTGTGTGTGTGTGTGTGTGTGTGTGTATGTGTGTGTGTAGTGGTGGGAGATACCAAATCCGACCCTCCTGGGCCTCTCCCGGGGCAGTAGCCTACCTGCAGGGCATGAGACTTTCAGATAATGTTGAGGGTCCTCAATCTCTATGTTGAGAAGCAGTGCTGTGATTCGCAGCCCGCATTCTCCTCTACGCCCCCATGCACCACAGGCCTGCATCTTTCTCCGGGTCATTCCTCCCTTTCGCTACGCCCCTCTGCTTTTTTCCGTCCCCGCCATGTTGTGAGCCTCACCTCCCAACCACCGCGGCTGCAAGGAGCGAGATTATTCCCCTTTTCCTCTGCTCCTTGAAGTCGCCCCCGCCCCCAACCCCCAGGTCGTGGGGTAAACTGAAGCTTTGGTGTCGGGCACTTGGGTGTCTGAGACCAGCCCTTGGCTATTTCCAGGATCACCCCTCCCCAGCGACATAGCATCCCAACGCCTGCAGGCTTGACCCTTGGCTCCCCCAACCCTCCGCCCTCAACCAGGGACAGGGGAGCTCCAGAGCCACCTCGCAAAGCCGCGAGGCAGGTGGAGGAGAGGGGCTCAGGGCCAGGATCTGCGCCCTCGGGTCCTCGCCCAGCTGTAGCTGTCCAACACTCACCCTGGCGCCGAGAGCTGTCTGCTGGGCGGCCGCTGCGCATCCATTAGCGGGTGGAGTGGCCGCTTCACTTCCGGAGCGCGGGCTCCGGGTGCCCCCCACCCCCTTGTACCCTCCCTTCTCCGTCCCCTCCCTCTGGGTCCCCTCCCTCCCTGTCCCTCCCTCCTGATCGCGCGTTCAGCCCGCCCCGCCCCGCCCCGCGTTGCCGGGAACTGGCATCCTCTGCCGCAGCGACCGCCCGCCCAGATCCAACTTTGCCGCTCGCTCGGAGGTGGCGCGGCGGCGCCGGGGGGCGTGGGCAGGGAGGGAGAAAGCAGGGTCAGGAGGAGGGACCGCGAGGGGTGGGTCGCCGGCTCGCCAGCCCTCCATCCTTTCTGTGCACCTTGCGGTAGGCAGGGAGCGGCAACCGCGGCGGCAGCTAGGGGCTAGTGCACACCCAGCCAGGAAGACTTAGGGAACCACAGACAGACGGACGGACGGAGAAAATCCTCCCCAGCGCCCCCCGAGCCATGGCCGAGAGAAAGCAATCTGGGAAGGCGGCAGAGGACGAAGAGGTCCCTGCCTTTTTTAAAAACCTGGGCTCGGGCAGTCCCAAGCCCCGGCAGAAATTCTGCGGCATGTTCTGCCCGGTGGAAGGGTCCTCGGAGAACAAGACCATCGATTTCGATTCGCTTTCGGTGGGCCGGGGCTCAGGGCAGGTGGTGGCTCAGCAGCGAGATGTCGCCCACTTGGGCCCGGACCCGCACCGGCAGAGCCGGCGTGCCAGCGGGGAGCCATCTGTTGAATCGGGCCGGAAGGTGGAGATCCGGCGGGCCTCGGGCAAGGAAGCCCTGCAGAACATCTACGATCAGGTTGGTATGGGGGGGTGGGGACGGAGAGCGGGGCTGAACCCTGGCATCTCGCGGAGGACCGAGCATCCCCGCGTGGCGACCGGCACGCGGCGCTTGGAGCTCTGCCTCCCGCATCTGCACGCGCACCGCGCCCTGCCCGCCCCTTCACCGCGCAGGGTGCGGCGAGGCACGGGTTAGCCGGTGGGCGTCTGAGCGCCCACAAAGGCTGCCCTCGCTTCCTTGTGCCTGGGAGGTGGGGAACCCGCGTCAGGGACCAGCTGATCCCTGGGCTGGAGGCAACGAGTGGCGATTGGGGTGGACCACTGTGCTGTTCTTAAATCCTCCCGGGCGGCATCCGATTGCAGCTGTGGCTCAGTGCCCCACCCTTTTTTGATGCAGCTCAAAGAGCGCAGTGGTGGGCTGCAGTCAAGGCCAGAGGACTTTCCTGGGGTCGAGGGGGGAAGGGGCTCACATGGCTCCTCGGAGTGGCAAGGTCTGCGCCTTCGGAGCGCTCGACACCACGGTCCTGAGCTCTGAGGTCAGGACCACGGCCAGCGCCCCGAGCCGTCACCAGTGCCTGGACTCCGGTTCACAGCCAGTTAAGAGTCAGGGAGGCCGTGATGTCACCGAGAAAAGCTAGATAGCCCATGTGGAGAACAAAGTTCTGCTAAGTGTCTCGGCAAGGGCTTCCCAGAGCGCTTCCCCAGCGCTGTTTGGGAGGCACTTTGGGAATGGGGAGAGACTAAGCGGATGATATTCAAACAGCCAAAAAGGAAAGGAAAAAAGAGGATGGGAGGGGAAGAAGGCTTACATTTGGAGACAAGACTCCCTGATTAGAGACAAAGAAGGCGAGCCTGATTATCCGTGGTCATAGAAAATGTTTGACATGGTCCAGTAAATCACAGCAGTGCACATTTCAAATCTAGTGGTCTTTTCACACACATGTCCCTCTATTTCAGGGTGACATTTATACTCGTGTATTTTTTTTCACAGCTTTAATGTCTCAACTGATCATTTATAGTGCACAGTGCTTTAATGCTCGATTGCTGCTTCTCTTCCATGCCCGTGGTGAAGATAACACACCAATCTATGAATGACTCTATATTGAACCTCCATGTGCCTTCCCTTCTAGGGCAGGAGGAAGATTAGTCCTAAAAGTGCTTCCTTTCAGACAGCCACTGGAGAAGTTGGGGGCTGTTTGCACATGCTCACTTCAGGGCTTGCCCAGAGAATGCTCCAGAGAGAGCCTCAGAGAGCAGCTCTGGGGCAATGACTGGGACACCGCTTCCCTGTTTCCTAACATGGCAGAGTGTTTTAGCTTTTGACTTTCTTAGGACCACTTCTAGGAAAAAAAAATCACTTAATTTACACCCACCCACCCATCCTCTGATTTTTAAATTTATACTTTACTAAGAGGTGACTGGAATCTAAATCCAAAAATCTTGTTTTGTTCCAAGTGAACAATTGAAAAGTTTCTTTTTTCTATCTTTCTTCTTTTCTTTCTTTCCTTCTCATTTCTTTTTTTTTTCATTCTTTTTTGGGACAGAATCTCATTCTGGACTTGAACTCATGACAATCCCAGTGCCTTCTGGGTGCTGGGATTGCAGATGTGACCCACCATGACCACCAGCTCCGTCTGTCTGTCTGTCTGTATATCTATCTATCTATCTATCTATCTATCTATCTATCTATCTATCTATCATCTATCTATCTATCTATCTATCTATCTATCTATCTATCTATCTATCTTTTCTTTCTTTTGTGGTGCTGGGGCCTGAACCCAGGGACTAGTGTGTGCTTAAACAAGCATTCTGTCGCTGAGCTACATCCCTAATCCTGATGTTTCAATATTTTACCTTGTAGTAAAAATGGGGTAAGTATAAAATGAGTCCTCATGGGAGCACGTTGGTGAAAGTCAAGACCACATTGCACCGAGGTTGAGTGAGCACTCTCAAGTCAGACACGGTGTAGGGTCACTCCAACAATCTGCAGGAAGCAGAACTATACCTGGAGAATCTGTAAGAGGACACGTGAAAGTGACAGATGAGGTGACCTCTGCATGACAATGGAAGAGCCACTGGCTGGGTGACCGGAGTGACTGTTGGAACACACCCTAAATTTAACATAAACTCTAAGTTGCAAATCTAGGGAACACAGAGGAGGCAATTTGAAGACAAAAGCACCAGATCCAATCCTTAGTTTCAACCCCTGCAAATCCATCTCTGCCTCAGCTTCCTGGTCATCAGCTCTGGAGGTTGGTTCTGGCGCGGCCTTTCTGCAGCCCTCTCTGGTTCATTTATCACAAAAGGGGCATTCCTGTGGGACTTGGTCATCCATAACTAGCAGCATTTACCCAGTTTGGTGCTTACAATGCATGAATTTTTCATGTTTCGCAAGAGGGTGTGCATATATGTATAATGATGGTGACTTCAGAAAGCACAGTTGGCTCACGGTTTTGACAGAATCAGTGGTCATTACTTAGATTTAGCTCATCAGCAGGGTGTCTTCAGGCTTTCAAGGAATTCTAGAAGCTCTGGCACAGGGGAGGGTAGATGGAATGGGCCATATTCCCTTCTCCTCCCTTGAATCTGTTGGTAAGGGGTCAGAGTTGCTAGGCATGATGGCACACACCTTTAATCCAGCACTGTGGAGGCAGAGGTAGGTGGCCTGCGCTACACAATGAGTTCTAGGCCCACCAGAGCTACTTGGCAACATCATGTTTAAAAAAAAAGAAAGAAAGAAAGAAAGAAAGAAAGGAAAAAGGAAGGAAAGAAGAAAAAAAGGAAAAGAAAAGGAAAAAGTATTTTGCTCACCTATGACACCAAGAATCCTTCTGTTGTAGAAAGGCCAAGAAAAGCCAGAGCAGGCTCCTTAGCCACGTAGCTCATGGGGGATGAGAGGGGCTAGTGGATACATTCCCAGGGACTAGTGACACATGATGCACAGACTGAGCAAGCCATGGCCACAAAACCCTAGGAGTGGCTTGCCCCAGGCTTCCAAGCTTGGGGAAAGGGAAAAAGTCAGTAGAGGGGTTAGGAACGAGGAGAGCATCCATCTTCTTGCTTCTCTTTCCCGTGTGTGTGGACAGAGGCCGGTTTGGGCTGCAATGAAGCCATATTGATCCTGAGCCTCTTGGGATAGAGAACAGACGGACAGCTCTCCCACCACTATCAGAAAACACCTGGAGTGGGATACTTATGAAATAAATACAGATAGATCTGCTTGGGCTCGTGGTTCTGGAAGTTCAGATCAGGTTGCCTTATGAGACTGGCAAGGGGGGTATAACATGGAGTAGGGGGGAGGAGGGAGGGAGGGAGGGAGGGACAGAGAGAGAGAGACAGAGAGAAGAGAGCACATAAGCCCCTTTGAGGGCACACCCACAATAACATTGGGAGTTCCTATCAAACCATACATGTTAAAGGTCTGTAATAGCACCTCCCCGAGGATCCAGATTTCACCTGTAAACCTTTGGAAGACACTCAGTGCTTAACTATGGTAGTTGCCCTGCTCACCAGTGAACATGGGTCTTTGAGCCCCACCCTTTCTCCTGGGATCCTTCCCTTCTAGTGGAGATACATTAGGTCAGAAACCTCCTCTCATCCTGGGATACTGGATGCTGAACCCCTTTCAAAGAACTTCCAGGCACATTTAACCATGAGCAACCTGTGCAGACTACAGAGGTGGGCAAGAAACTGTCCTCTGGTCCAGGGCAAATGCCAGTGAGTGGGCCCTATAGAACTCTGCTGAGCTTGGCAGCATCTTGCTGTAGCTCAAACATATCCCCTAAGACCTTTGCTGGAAACGTAATTCCTTGTGTAGCGCCATGTTGGGAAGCAAGGCTAGTGGGAACACCCTATCCTTATGCTGTCAACACTGATGACACAAGAACCTGAGACTCTTGAGTTGCGTCGCTTTTCCTCGTTGGCCAATGTGATGCTTTCTCCCAGGTCACGTGGCAATGATGAAGGCTCACGGTGTGTAACCTCGGTCTTAGACTTCCCGGCCTCTAGACTCAAGCACCAAATGTAATTCTTGTCTAGGGCTGGGGAAATGGCTCAGTCGGTAAAATGCTTGCCGCATAAGTGTGAGGACCTGAGTTGATCACCAGTGCTGACATAAAAACCTGGGTGTGGGCTGGGCACGGTGGTGCACACCTCTAATCGCAGCCCTTGGGAGGCAGAGGCAGGCAAACCGCTGTGAGTTCAAGGCCTCCCCGTCTATGTAATACATTCCAGATCTGCCTTGGGCACACAGTGAGATGTCTCAAAACGATGCCGTGGATTGTGGTGGTGTGTGTTTGTAATT